AGGCAGATTTGTGTGGTGAGTAACTTCAGTTGTTTGTATAGCGGTATTGGTCCATTCAATTCAAGCCCTTCTAAAACTCTAGAACAAATAACATCTACTTCTGCTAAATGTCTGGCCATGTTATCAGATCTGAGGGTAGAGCAGAGTATCTTCCGTAATCTTATAGCTTCATCGTCACTATTAAAGATCAAAAGATCACCATACAGGCTGTACATGTAGCCAAAGTCTTTATAACCCATATCAAGAACATGGGCTTGATCTGTTGAGACAAAAATTATTACCAAAGACCTTCATTAAAAAGAGTGTAATAAGACCAGATAAACAACTGGGTAAGGTAATCAGAACAACTATCTAAAAATAATAACTGTTACTTATAGCTGACCACATTAGGATATACAGAGGCCTGAAAATTATCTACCTATCATACTTTATGGCATCACTTTTGCCTTTTAAAATATTCTGGAGGCAACAAACTCATTGACCATAGCCCACATTCAATCATTCTGTTGAATAACCACACACAAAAGAATTGAAACAAGGTTCAGGAGAAACAATAGAAAATTATTTTGTTTCCTGGTGCCCATCTTCAAAGCCTTTTTGCATGATCATTCAGCCAGAATATCAAAAAATTATTAGTTATAAATAGTGCATTTCATACCTTGCAAAATTTCCTTGACACCTCTGCTAGATGCCACAAACACATGTGCCCTATTCAAAACTCTTGTCTGAAAGATTCTACAACCAAATGTGTCTATTCTACTTTGTACAAATTCATTTGGATTCTTTGCAAACTCGATGGTCTTGTCTCCTGTTATAGGCCAGCCTATACAACCAGATAATGATGCCATCTGCAGAAACATGTAAACATTTCRATGTTGACCATTCATAAACATCAAAACTTTTGATTGAGTCCAACTAGGTTTGTGTTAACGAAGGTTGACACGTCGACACTGTTTTGACAAGTTGTCAACAACATTAAGCTTAAGTAACACTTTGCAAAACCATGCAGTGCGTGCAGCTATTCACAAATACGTTTGTAAGTAAAACGACAACACAGGACTATGTCCATAAAAAGCTTACTTAAAAAAAATATATGTTTAAATTCTAGCAAATAGTACACATTTGTCCAAAATAAACATTGCTGTGCTTACATTCAAAGAGTGAAACCCGGTCAAAAATAGGTTGATATCATCAAGCAAATCATGACAGCGCAGGTATTCACTTCATGTCGAAGATTTTTTTCGATTTTCAAATGGTCGAAGAGCGTATCGAAAAAGCAGYACTCAGCTGTTCTTATAATACTTTTCACTAAATAAAATGTGATTTCTGCGACTGCGCGATCGCATATATTTAAATAACTATACATGTAGTTAAGTCTACTATAATTAAATTTTTGACAGCAGTAAAGCTAAGGTGCAAAAATAAGCCTTGATTTTTAAATCTAAGGATGCTCTTACCTATAAATATAATACTTGACCTACATAGCAGTCACTGAACTAGATCTCTAGTAGTTTACCATGGTCAAAAACATAAATAATTCAGTCTTTCATGTCGAGTATCTTTGTGTTTTTGTATCGGCTATTATTCCCGCCATTCGAATATCTTCGTATAATRTTCGGGTCTGTTCGGATTCTGATCGCACTCATACTCGGTCCCCTTCGGCCCCGTTCGTACTTTTAAACATACAGGTAACCCGAAGCAAAAAAAAACATGGCGGCGAGTATAGGAATTTATCGMCGGTTTTGTTTTTCTTTGCGACCTGTGCTGCTTCAAAACAGAGGATTATGTTCTGCTCCGCAGGTAAGTGATGACACGAACTAATTGTATTGATGTACAGTAGCTTTTAACTTTAATAAAAGTTATAATAAAGATTTATCGTAAATTTGCTAAACACGTGAGTTAAATTTTCATAGGGTAAGCATGTTATYCAAAATGGAGTTGTCCTTGGAGCATATGAAGTAGATGGCGAAGAGTCTGCTTTTAAACTAACAAGAACTGCTGCTGGTTTTAATAGCAAAACGTCAGGGAGGTTCAAAGAGATTCTCAAAATGTAAGATAATTATTTTATTTGTCAATGCAATGTAAGGATTGCCATTAAGCTTAATCATTATTTTATCATCAGCTGATCATCATCAATTACTACCTATGGTTCATGCTTAAAATTTTAAAAGCTTATATCAAAGCATAAATGTATTCCATAAGTTGGAGATCATACCAGCTAGGGTATCGTTTTCAGCGATTTTACTCTGGAACTGGGTATCGATTTTAGCGATTTTACTCTGGAACAGGGTATCGATTTCAACGAATTTTCTCTGGAACAGGGTCAGGGTTGAATTCCGGAATTATTGATGCTGGATAAAAATTCATGGGGTAAAAATTTGGTCTACACGCAAGCTAGTGCAGGATTTTACTCTGGAACAGAGTATCGTTTTCATCGATTTTACTCTGGAACAGGGTATAGTTATCAGCGATTTCACTCTGGAACAGGGTCAGGGTTTTGAGGTCCCAGCAGCACACCCCCACCCAAGTTTCGGGGGAGTACCCCCCTCTCCCCCCCGGGCCTGTGGGTTGTTGGAGTCTTTGCCTTTTGCATAAGTCCTCGGAAACCCAGGGGTAATAATCTTCTGTCGTTTGCAATCAAATCAATCACAATGTTCGATTGAATTACTTGACCAATGAAAAATTTAGCAGTCAACAATTTATAATTTCAAATCGAGAACAAGGTCTAACAGACTTCATGCCCAGGGGTTTTTTTSCTGGGAGTGAGGAATGAGGGACGGAAGATTAGGATGTGCCCTTTGTAGCCTTGGGGAAAGCTATTGATAGGTATATTAAGAAAAACTGGATTGGTGATTTCCCAAAAAGTTCAAAACAAGTGCAACTGCAAAAAGGTTTTTATGCTTGATTGGTGGTCAATATGAACAACTTACCATGAGTATAATTGTAGTCCCAAAGGCCAGTCTCCTTATAGTTCACTGACACCATGGTATCTTGCTGGTACCTTACACATCTTTCAAGCTTTGGTATTGGTGCAATCATTGTCATGGTGTTTTTTTCAGACTTAAGGCCTTCAAGGCCTTGTTCCATGTTTTTTGTTTTTTGAAAGTTGTATATATTATGTGCAATGTCAATATACAATTATATGTGAATTGMATGMTTTCATTTTTCAGTGCTGGCTTCAATGGAAAGCTTGGTAACTCAAAAACATTTTATGGTATTGATCGAGTAAGTAGTGTAGATCAGGTCAAATCTAAAAATGGCTGAGMAATTCATATTAGACTATTGTTCAAAAGGACTAAATAGCTGTACATACATGTACATGCATACAAAGAAAGCTTTTGTATTACTAACATTGAATGAGAAGCTGTTCTGTCAAAAACATTGTTATTTACAATGGTCAGCCATTTTTCATTTGGGTTAATGCTGCCTAATTCTAGACTAAAAGCAAGCTCTATTACAGTCATTTCTCCCATACTGCAGAAACCAGCTCTTCAGCCCTCAACCCTTCTGGCACCTGTTACTGCTATGCGTCAAATATTAAGATTAAAAAAGGRCATGTAGTAGCTTTTGCTTGAGCAATATAAATGCAATATAAATGCAAGATTAATTTGCTGGGGTGTCAACATGGGGTGTCAATTAAATACATTTAGGTTTGATTGGTAAAATATTTGTGATTAAAGCAGATAAAGCCATTGGATCTGTTTCAATTATCAGACATTTGATTTTAAGTGAAGCACCAATCTCTCCTGTCCTGAGAAGTTCCTCAGGATAATGTCAAGGTTATAATGCCAAGACATTCCAAATTAGATCGAATTCCAAAATTGTGCACACAGACAGTTTGAAATTATTATCTATATTAGGATTACCCTTGTGTAGTAGCTGTTGGTTTGGGTAAAGAGCTGCCTTCAATGGATTTAGATACTGCTGAGGAGCATGAAGGTGCTGCAAATGTCAGACATGCTGCAGCAGGTACACATATTGAACARTTTGTTTGCTGGTTGTATTGCTTAAAATGCATCAKTGACWCATATTCACTGTTATCTTGTAGCTGGAGCAAGGGCGCTAAGGTCAGCAGGTGTCCAAGTTGGAGAAATTGAAGCTTTTACAGATGCACAATGTAATTCATTAAATATTGACTACTGTTTTAATAGKAAATTGCTATGACAATATTGTAGATGTAAAACATCACTGTGATATGTTTGGTAATGATGATCAGTTT